ATGTGTGTGTGTGTGTGTGTGTATGTGTGTGTGTGTTTACTCTGCCATTCTTACCTGGAGCCGATTAGTTAGTTACATTGTAACAAAAGCTTCCATTATATGCAACATTTGTTTTTCTTTCCTGGCTTTGATCTGTGAGGTGATTTAATGTGTTTACTGTATTTTTCTAATCTGCTAGAGTAGTAATTCTGTCACAGTAGGGAGAGGGCAAAGGCATACTTGAGATTTTCTAGGGCACTTATATTGGCAGTAAGAGATGCATGTTGTCCGCCTCCCATGGCCTTGCATATGCTAGGCGAGTGCTGGACCACTGAGTTCCTTCCTCCACTTCAGCCCAGTAGGTTTCTTAAATCTGAATATCTTCTGAAATTTTGTCAACTGATGGTTCTGAGATGTCTGATAAGGGTTTGTATCACTTACCAGTTGCTTTGCCAGCGAGATGTAATTAGTTTGGGGCAGGAGATAAGCTCGTTTACTGTATGTAGGTCAGCCATAGCACTTGATAGCTCCTAAAGCGGAGGCACCCTGGGTGGAGTAGGCTTCCTGATGTCATGGAGGCGCCTTGTGGAGAGAGCAGGCCCACAACCTGTATTTCTTATCTCCTGCAGTGTTTGATCTGGGGTAGCAAATCTCAGTTTGCTCTTACCAACAACACATCTGTAGATTTTATTCTGTTTTAGAACCACTGAATCTAGTTTTAACTCTGGGGCCATGTTGCAAATCTATGATGTTGGCTGTAAAACATGTAGTGTGAACAGCAAGAGCTGTTCGGGCACACTGTACCCGAGGAGTAAGACTATGATATGATACGAGTCAATACACAGTCTCCACGGCACAGGCAGGGTGTTGGGAAGGGCGTCGCTCTTCGGTCTGTTGGAGTCTACTCACTTAGCGTGCTTGCCAGCTGACTGCAGTGGCCTTCTCTCCATGTCAGCTGTCCCACCAGCTCGTCTCCTCGTTCAGAAAACCTTCACTGGCTCTGTTGAACACCCCTTCCCCCACCCCTCCTTTCTGTTAGAGTAGGTAGTTTCTTTTTTAAAAATACATATCCTCCAAGAAATATACTGTCTTCCAGTGATTGTGTGAGGATGCCTGTGGCAGTAAGTCTCTGGGTTTCTTGATTCCTGAGATGGTGCAACCACTCTTAGGAATTGTTTTTATCGCCCTAGGAAGACTATGGAAAAAGCCTTGAACATTCTTAGATTAGAGAGCATGGCCATGAGCTCTAGTCATTGCTAAATTGAGCCCACGGTGCTTTCTCTGTCTGATTTTCTCATCCTCCAGGGCTAATTTTTAACACTAGCCCCATGCAGGAGCATGGCAGAATGGAAAGAATTTATGGTTCAGATTCAGTTGTGGTTTCAGTGTAGCTGTGTTTGGGACCTGACATTTGCCAGGTTTATGGTTATGGATGAGTTATCTAGCTGTGAGGAGTCTTAACTTCTTGAGCTATGTGGCTGGAAGGTCTGAAGCATATGGGAAGAACTCACATGCCCAGTGGGCTCAGGCTCTCAGTGTGCCATGTGCTGGAACGGCTCACATGGGAGACCACCTTTGCCCCTTGAATATTAAAGCCTCCCATTTTGGTTTTGTATTTTTAGAGCTTATATGTAATTATGCATTTGTTTATTCTTTTAACATAGATATATATCTAGGATAATTTGAATATCAAAATATTTAAAGGTTTGCTCCAAAAAACAATTCTTGGAGAGTAAGGGATTGAACCTATGGTCACACATGCTTAGAGTGAGCATTCTGCCCTTCACCCTCCCAGATGGGCCTCTGCTCCCCAGGTCTGGGCCTTCAGGCAGCCTGCCTCTCCAGAGCTATACTTGAGCCTCTAGGTTCAGCGCTGAGTCAAGACTCGGAAAAGAAAATCTTGAGTCTTAGAGCTAGGCATATGTCAGAAATGGGGGACACAGGGCCAGTGATGGCTCAGCAGGTAAAATGGCTTGCTGCTGAGAGAGATCCTAGTTTAATCTCTCGTACCCACATGGTAGAGCAAGCTGACTCCCACAGGCACATGCGGCTCTTTGACGTCCCTGAGCACTTCTAGTCAGTAAATAAATGAAAGATTAAAGAAACAGGGGCTGCAGAGTTGTCTCAGTAGTCAAGAGCCTGTGTTGACCTCAGAGGACACAGGCTTGCTTAGTTTCATTTCTGAAGTTTCTTCCAAGACCGTTTTGCTCCATTGCTCTGGGTCTGAGAGGAGGCAGAGCACCACTGGGGCTCAGTGGGCAGAGATGGACGCTCCATAGTCCGGGGAGATTACAGCGTCTATGGTGAGATGGGGTGTTGGGTCTTCAGCTTTGCTTTTACTAGACACAGAGCCAAGATCGAAAGCACCTCCCCCCCATTGTCGGCTTTATCATAGTCATCTGTTAGGTGTCAAGGCTTATCAAGGTAGACTTTTATAATACTTAATTTTAGCTTTAAAGCAAGGGAACTGAATGTTTTGAAATAATTGGAAGTTTCCCAGTTCCTTTGGCTGACTAGTTACTGAGCTTGTGGCAGACAGTGCTGTGTGGAGCTGTGTGGAGCTTATAGCACACTGCTGCAGGGACAGCTCTGTAAGAGCACAGCAGGTAACAGTGGCTTCCCTCTGCCACTGAGAGTGGGCACAGGAAGTTACTGCAAAAGCCAGGGCTAGAGAACCATTTGGGATCATCCAGATATTTGCCTGCTGAGCTGCAAGGGTGTTACAGGTGAGCGTGCAAGTGAGTGTCTGTGCGGAGCTCTCCTGGGGGCAGACTCAGCCAGTGTGCAAGTCTCTACTGTGCCCTAATTTTCTACACTTGAAACATGGTTCTGTCGTCATAGTGATTTGTACCGTGTGTTTGGTGCCCGCTCTCTCTCCTCTCCTCTCCTGCCCAGGGTTCTTGGGCATAGAACAGTGTTCTTGCTTAAATGATGAGTGTTCTCCATATCTTCTCCAATTTGAACTACTCTTTTTTTTTTTATCTCCTTTGACATTTAGAAATTGTTAGGCTTTCTCATTAAAGCACAGAGATACTACTTTATTAGAAGAAACATGGGGGCTTCAACAGAAAACTAGACAAGGGTGTGGGCGTGGCAGTGAGAAGGGGGAGCCACGGTGAGCACAGAGTCACTTCCTCGGGCTGTGAACTCTGAGAGCTCACAGGCGGTCTTTGTGTCAGGATTGCCTGTCTGTCTACCTTGCGTCACTCAGATCCCAGGCCTTATAGAAATGCAGTATTTGTCTGTACCTAAGATGCTCTTTAAGATTCCATTTGCCTGATGCAACGTAAATGCTGTGTGAATACTGGGGATAATATGTTGCTTAAATAAAATATGCCAGGCATGGTGTCACACACTTTTAGTCCTAGTACTTAGGAGGCAAGTGGGTCATGTTTAATTGGAGACCAGCTTGGCTTACATAGTGAGTTCAAGGCCAGCCAAGGCTACATAGTGAGCCTCTGTCTTAAATACATGCACACAGTGGGCCCGCCCCGCGTCAGCTGTGTAAGCACTTGGAGTTAGTCCTGTTAGGTTGCAGATGGTTCCTTTCCTGCCCTGTGGGGCTTCTGTCTTAAAAAAGAATTTGTCCATAAAAATGACTGGCTTTGTGAGAGAGGAAATGAAGGATAGAGGCCCATGGGCTGTTCGATGATACAGGACTCTGGTGGCTCAGCCTTGCTCTTGTCCTGGACGTGGGTCCAGTTTGTAGCTGCTAAGGAGCCCGACTCTGTTGAAGCGTCTGATCTGTTGAGTCCATCAGCCGAAGCTTCAGGAGCTGTGAAAGGAGAAGTGTGTGGACTGCGTGGCAGCGCGCAGCCTCTGCTTGCTTGTTTAAAGTTCTGGGTTTTAAAATGGGTTTAAGAAACAAAAGAGCCGACCACAGCAGAGGCCTGCTAAGGAGGGGAGGCTCTGTGCTGCATGCTAAGTAACATGCCTCAGCTGCTGGAGTGCCTCAGCTTTGTTAGCTGCTACTTCCTGAGGAGCCAGCCTGGCAGCAGGCTGTGCTGACCCGGTGGAAACGCCCACCCCCTGAACTGCTGCTGTGGTGGGGGAGCGAGGTTGGGGAGCGGGAATTCCTTGGAATGTCTTCTACAAGCAAAGAACCCCGTGTTCCAAGTCCTGGGGACCAGATATTTCAGATGGTAGATTTTCAGATTCAGGGCTGTTGACATAGGTTTCGCTGCTTGCCATCTTAATGTGAAGTGAATCTCAAGCACTTCCAAGTGTGGATTTAGAAATACTTTCACTATCGGGCTTTTGTGTTCGGAACGATCAACTTGGACTTTTGTTGTTGTTGAGATGGTCCCTCTACATAGTCCTACATGTCTTGGAACACTGGCCTCAAACTCACAGGAGATCCATTGTTCCTGCCCTCTGAGTGCTGGGCTTAAAGGCACGGGCCTCCATGCCTCAGCAGTTATTTTAAAATCTTGTTTTATTTATTTATAAAGACATTAAAAGATTTTTAAAAATAGGAGAGTTTTGCCTGTCTGTGTGTGTGTGTGTGTGTGTGTTCACCAGGTGTGCCTGTGCCCACAGACATGAAGAGGAGGGCTCTGGCTTTCCTGGAGTCAGAGTTAAGAAGGATCATGAATCAGTGTATGGTTCTGGAGTCCAGCTGTGGTCCTCTCCAAAACTGCTGAGTAATCAATCTCTCCAGCCCCTTATTTGGTTTTAAAATAAGTTTAATTTGTGAATTGAATATTAAGTAGTAATTGAAGACAATATTTAAAAGTATGGGTACCTAGTAAATGATCAGGAGAATAAACATGTTTCAACAGCACATAATGATTACCAGCTTGTTTTATTTTGGTATTTAATATGATTAGTTTGTTCTGACACCCTTGTCTCCAAACCTAGAGGAGCTGATGTGTGTTCTTTGTTTGAAGAGACCTTTTGGTGTGAATTTGAATATAAATGCCTATTTTATCAGCTTTCCCTTTTTGTGGGAACTTGCTTTTAGTGGTCTGTAAGTTAAAAAAAAAAATCAAAACTATTGCAAATTTCTTGTTGTTTTCCAGGCTGAACTCACAGGAATCAAATGGCGTAGGTACAATTTTGGAGGGCACGGGGACTGTGGACCCATAATTTCAGCCCCAGCCCAAGATGATCCAATCCTGTTAAGTTTCATCCGCTGTCTGCAAGCCAACCTGCTATGTGTATGGCGTCGTGATGTCAAGCCAGATTGCAAAGAGCTCTGGATCTTCTGGTGGGGAGATGAACCCAACCTAGTGGGAGTCATACATCATGAACTGCAGGGTAAGGACTTTGTTTTTCCTTAAAAAGTATTTGCATATGTTTTTTGAACAATTGTACATTTTGGAATTTATATTTAAGAGTTGCTTAGAACAGAGACCCCAGGCATTCAGTAAACAGTATGTTTGTCAGAAGTGTCCGCCCTCCCCCCCGCCCCACCCCCCCATCCCCACATCATTTCCCTTTCCTTAAACTGTTTGCTCTTCCCCTGTCATGCTGAAAACTAGAATCTTGTAAAGTCATTGCAAGTCTATTTATTATTATTTACAGACAGACAGACAGACAGTCACCATGTAGCCTTAAACTTAAAGCACTCCTCCTGGCTCAGTGTCTTGCAGGCTGCGATACAGGGGCTCACCACCCTTGCCTTCTGGCCTCTGGACTCATTTCTGTTAGAGTTCTGCAGACCCAGTGTGCAGTGTCTGGTTGGATACAAGGCTCTGGCCCCATTTTTAAATAAATAGTGAATTGTGAGTAACTAGTAAGACAGCTATATGAACAGAAATTGTTTTTTCTCTTTGGACTTTGCCTGCTCAACTCTTTGTTGGCAAATTGAAAATACAGAAATCTAATACACTCTTTATTGGACAGACCTCAAATTGACCTTGGACACTGTTTTGGGGAAAGATAAGTTTCTATAAAGTATCTCAGCTTATTTCTCTTACTGATTTCAGAAATGCTAATTTTTAACTGACTAAATTTTGACTTAAGTTTGCATTTGATACCTGGAAACTTTGAATTAATGCAAAATATTTGTTAGTCCAAACTATTTTTTATATTTACCATGCATTTACAGTATCAGACAATATTATTAGTAGCTTTCATGCCTCTAGCCAGATTTCTCCTTCATATTCTACACAATTCTCTAAGTCAGGAGCCACTGCAGGGTTCATTCTGTGGTTTGAGGCAGGCCTTCCCACGCTGCTGTGCTGCTGCCCGAGGGCTCTCCGAGTCCGAGCCTTGTGGAGCTGAGGATACCTTGCTTGGCTAGCCTGTATCCCCATGGGGAGTGCTGGCCCTTCTTGCCTGGCTTTATAGCTTCACCTGCTCTAGTTAATTTGTGGTTGAAACGTTGCAGGCATTGCTGAGATGCTTTGTTAGTTTGTATTCTTATTATTTATTACGGGAAGACATAGAACAAACTCCAGTGTATTCTTGTGGGTCTGTTTTAAAGGTTCTAAATTTGCCTAAAGGATTTCCTGCCAAACTCTTGAAACTTGTTGGCAACCCTGTTTGTTCCCCCCCTCCTGTTGGTTGTGTATCTTGCCACAGCAGCTAGGGGGCAGTACAGCACAGTGAACTAATTGCTAACTCTGGGCTGTAAACCTCTTACCTGATGTTTGTTCACTCCTCTAGGTGAGGTTGCTTACTCTATCGTGGGCTCATCAGCATACGCTCAGAATTCCCGGCTGTCTCCAAGCCCTGTGTAGTCAGTAGGTGATGTAGACACAGTTAGAGCTTCACATCACCTACGGTTTGGCTTTTCAGTCTCCAGGAGAGCTTCTAGATGGTCGATGGTCCTTCTTATATTGTGTTTATTTGAATATAAAAGTATTGCATACTTTTAATTTTTTCGTGTGTGGAGTTTTAAACATTTTTCTCCTTTAGTTTTTAATCTTAAAAAATATTTTAAACTAACCCTGAGTGATGGATTATCTATTGACCTATTGTGGGAGTGCGTGTGCACCGTGGCGTGGCTGTGGAGATCACAGGACAACTGCTCTCTGTTTCCTTCTCCCATGTGTCCCTAAGGCTGCGGCTCAGGTGGCTTAGTGACAAGTACCTTTCCCTGCTGAGCCGGCTCCCAGCTCTTCTCTGTTATCTTTGGTTCTGGTCCTCCTTACTGATGCCTTAAATTCACGTGGTAACATGTCAGAAAACAAATGGCCTGTCTTGACAGGAGAGTGAGTGCTGTTCTTGGAGCTAAACCTTGTGTGAGTGTGGGCGGTTCTTCCCTAGCTGCTTTATGTCACACGTGTAGTTCATTAATTTCAGAATATATTGGCAAAAAGTTAAGCAAAGATTGACTTATTTTTAAATAGTTTTTATTTTGTTTTAGATCATAGAAACATTATTATTATTTTTTAAACCAAGGTCTCACTTTGTAGGTCTGGCTGACCTGGAACTTGCTCTGTAGATCAGGCTGGCCTTGAACTCACTGGAATCCACCTGCCTCTGCCTCCCAAGTCCAGAGATTAAAGGCATGCACCACTTCCTGCAGACGCACTGCACTTTAGTTAGTAGATACCATGTGAAGGAGGCCGAGGAGGCAGCGGGGACAGCCGCCGTCTGAGCCTGGGCATGAGCCGGTGCTGCGTATCGAACCTTTGTCTGATACTGTCAGCTGACTGGTGTGTTTGCCCAGGGGAATGGTGTCCTGTGTATGCTCTTTCCTTTTGAGAGCCGTGAAGTGTCTGCTCTTGCTGAGCAGCCATGACATCCTAAGTGTCTCCTCCTCTCGGTGAGCTGAACATTGGGAAGCTTAGAGCCGGTCACAGCAGTTGCCCACCTCTGCGTGTAAAAGTGGCTGGAAGAGTAAATTGTACGGCTCAGTCATTAGGAGATACTTGGAATCTTACTAGAAAAGTGAGCGGCATAGTGACGTGTAGTCAGGAAAGCCGTGGGCAGGGGAGGAACAGAGTCCCTGTTGGCTGCCACAGACTCAAGAGTGTAACACTTCCCTTCCCAGTCTGTTTAAGCATTATTTTATTTTGGGCAATATAAACGTTAGCAGAGTCCTGCTAACAGGTGTGAGTGTTAGGCACAGGGCAGGCAGCACTGTTAGGACAGTAACAGAGGGATTGAAGACTGTTCATGCCTTTTGGTTCTGTTTTGTACCTTGTCATTGTGTGACTTTGTAGCATACTGCTAGCAAAACAGAGTAAATGCCAAGCTGCTGCCTTGGTACATGGGTACATGGTATCCACGTGTACTCATTAGTAAAGCAGCCTTATGGAGAGAGTGCTCCTTCAGGACACAGTGTTGGATCCCTACCTATGTACTTAGAACACTGAAGTATCTAGAGCCCTGTGAGGAAAGGCGGTGAGGTGAGGAAAGGCGGTGAGGCAAGGGAAGGTTGGGACATTGTGAGCTCCAGAAGTTTGGCTTCTGATGCCTGCATACTGACACCTGCGTAGTTACTTGCCAGCCGCGAGCCTTTGCTTACTCTGTTTAACCCGTCTTGTCTGAGTCTCCTCACTAGAAATGGGATTATGAGGCTAAAGTTAATAAAGACCTGAGTAGCACACATAGCATCCCTCTGGAACTGGAACTGGAACTTAGCTGTTGGCCATTGCTACTGCGCTGATAACCCTGAGCTTGCAGATGAAAATTATAGTTTGGCATTTTCTAAGCAATTGATCTTGTTCTGGGTAGCAGGTAGTGCCAAATATTAACATCTACTTTCAAGCTGAAATAATTATTTTCTAGTTTTAATGTTTGAGGGGGGGAATGGGGAATAATAAAAATGTCACAGTAGTAAATGTAACATGCTCAGAGGAAATTTTTCTGCATTTTCTATAAATTTTCTCTCTGTATATGTGTGCACATGCTGTGTGTGTGCATGTGCTACTGTGGACATGTGTATATGTGTGCACATGCTGTGTGTGTGCATGTGCTACTGTGGACATGTGTATATGTGTGCACATGCTATGTGTGTGCATGTGCTACTGTGGACATGTGTATATGTGTGTACATGCGGTGTGTGCGCATGTGCTACTGTGGGCATGCCATAGAGATTGGAGAACAACAAGTGTTGGGAGTCCTCTCCTCCCACCCCAGATTCTGGGGCTTGGATTTGGGGCAGGTCTGCAGGCTTTTGTGCCAAGGGCTTTTACCTGTTGAGCCATCTTGCTGGCCCCTTCTCTGCATTTCTTAGCAAACCCAGATTGTTGTGTGGCAAGGACAGTAGTTTTAGCTTGTTGTACACGCTTAAATAGAACTAACTGAGACCGCTGCCATGTGTCAGAGCAGGGCACCCCGTGAGTGTGTGCGGCTGGATGAGTGTTTCCATTTGTTAGAGGAATTGACAGTCTAATGTGTGTAAGAGGAGGTGCACACGCTGGGCTGTGCACAGACCACTACTAAGAATATGTGCGGGGGTAGACCAGGATGGCCTTGGCCTCACAGGGATTAAAGGTATGTGTCACCACAGCTGACCTGAAACATCGTTACCACATTTATATTTTCCTATAGTTGTGTTCTGAATTAGTTTGCCAAGTCTATAAAGTAGTAAAAGTTTTCATTGTATGATGACTGTGTGAATATTTATGTTTATTTAAATATTTAATTAGTTATACATACCGGAGATGTGACATTTAGTAAGACTTGAATGAGTAACAAAGTCTTATTGTGAAATTATGGAAAGATACCACTCAGATTCTTTGGTGTGAAGAATAGGAAGAGACTCGGTGAACTAGAATTATTAAGCTAACCGTGTTTGGAATCGAGAGAGCAGGCTGAAGTCTTAACTTTCTACTGTAAATAACATCAGTGTGTCACCGCAGGCAACTTACTCAACCATGTAATTAGGGTTTTTTTAAAAGGAAAAATGAGACATTTATACCAAGATTGTTGTGAGATAGAATGTGAAGAGAAGGCTCGTGTTCTGCTGATACAAAAATTAAGCAACTGGCAAAATTATAAAGATTATTGCTTTAGGGAAAAGTCAAAGTTTTGATTTGGGGGTTATTATTAGGAAGCAGAGACATCGTGGCCTAATTTATTTTTAACCGACATGAAAACTGTATATACAGTGAACCCAAGTAAAAAAAATTTTAAATTATTTCTGATATTTTTAGTTATGCGTGTGCATGTGTTTGTCTGCGTGTGAATTTGTGCACACGAATGTGGGCACCTGAGGAGCTCAGAGCCATTGGGCCTCTTAGAGATGGAGTTGTAGGAGTTGCTGCCTCATGGGGGCTCTGGGAACTTCTGTAAGAGCAGGGAGCTCTCTTCTCTGCTGAGCCGTCTCTCCAGCCTTTAAGGAAATGTTAGTTATCTTT